GAAATACATAAAATATATGGACATTGTATTGTATATATCAACATGTTTTATCTTTTAATACCATAATAATTTACACTTCTCTGGTACAAAGGGAAGGGCAAAAAATTTTATACAGATTTTCTAGATTGTGAGTGTGCCATGCCCCTAAACCCTGCCATGTGGAAGGGTGACTATATAAGATCTGGAAGGGACCACAAAGATTACATATTCTATACACACCCCCAACTTCAACTTACAGAAGATGAAACTGAGGTCCAGGGAACAGCATGATTAAAAGCCCAGAGGTTAGAAATGAGCTTATTAGTTTCAGGAGACAAGATGGGCCTGCCTAGAGTCCAATATCCTTGTAGAGGGGCAGCTAGGTGTGGTATAGTGGATAGAGCACCAGCCTTGGAGTCAGGAGGACCTGAGTTCAAATCCAGTCCCAGACCAGACATTTGACATTTATTAGCTGTGTGACCCTGGGCAAGTCACTCAATTCCAATTACCTTGCAAAAACAAAACAAAACAAACAAAAACAAACAAAAAAAAATATCCTTGTAGAGACATTGTGAGACATAAAGAGAGATAGGTTGGCTGAGGTCAGACCACGGAGGAACTTGAATGTCAAAATGAAGAGCTTGGACTTGATGGATTAGGAAATAGGGAGCCCCTGTAGGTTCTTCAGCAAGGGAATGATATGAAAATAAGAACAATGACAATAGCAATAACAATTGCTGGGATGGACTGTCTAGAGAGGAAACTGTGGCCCGGATAAGTTAAGGGAAATTGTCTAAGGCCACAGTTAGTAAGTAGCGGGACTCAGATTCAAGCCAGGACTTCCATTAGACAACTCCAACCACCTTGCTCCTCATTTTTGACTGGACCCACGATCCAAGAAACTCCCAATGAAGAAAAGACTCTGTGTCAAAGCAGACCAGCAACTGCTCAGTAACTGAGAGAGAATTGGCCTGGGGGCATTGAGAGGTCCCACAGCTATAACATTTCAGAGGCAGCTGGGACTTAAATCCAAAGTCTTCCGGCTCTAAGACCCAACTTCATCCACTCCAGCAGACTCCCTCTTATATGTAGCTCTCCTATTTCCAAAACACTTTCTCATTCATGAACTCCACTGTTCCCCTAGGCAACGCTAAGAGGTGGCTAATTACAAAGTCACATGTCCAGAATAGAATTCCAGTCCGGGTTTTCAGAGAGTCCAGAGATGTTTTCCAAAAGAAATGGCACTAAAGCTGACCTCCACCCTCTTTGGGAAAGGATGAAATTCCCCACCCCGCTTACCTCTCCCTCACCTTCTTCATTCCCCTCTCAATAAAGTCTTTCTATGGAATGGACTGCCTCAGAGAGGTGGTGAATTTCCTGAAGAGGTCTTCAAACAAAGACTGGTATTGATCCTTGTCGATAATGTTGTAGGTGATACCCTGTGAGGTCCCTTCCAAATCTAAGATTCTATGCTGCTCCCAGACCACCCACCTGGGGAAAGCAGAGGGGCCACCAGGGCTGCCTCTTTAGGCAATTTGCCTCCCTTCCTCCCCCTGCCCAACCAGTCTTTCCTGGGAGGAAGGCAGGGGAGATCCTGGTTTCACTCTTTGCCCAGCATCCTCTGTGATTTCTCCCCGAAAAAGCAAGAAAACTCCTTATTTGGCTGAGCTAAGCCAGCCAGGTCCCTGCAGCAACGAAGGCTCTGATTTAACCCTTGGTTTATAAATAAAAGAAGCGATCACAGGAGGGAGCTTAAACACCACCAGGCAGCAACGTAAACAGAGCTCAAAGCCATTCCCGGGCAGGAGGCAGAGACTCTGGGGAGTGTGGGAGGGTCCAGGAGAAGTAAAAAGGAACTGGACAATCCTCAGGCCCAGCTGCTGCAGGGATTCAGGCCCAGGGGGTGGGGGCCAGGAGATGTAAACCCTGGTGTTTATTTGAATGACACCCAGGCTGCCTGGGAACATGGCCCCGGATTCTTCTCAGCTGAGGCTCTCATTCCATCTGACTAGGTTTGCTCGGAATCTGGGAGAGGTCTGCTCTGCCCCTTTGTACAATCCTCAGCCCTAGTCATGGCTGCCCCTTTGGACAACCTTGGCTAGGGAGTGGTGAATCTCTCACAGAATCTGAGAGTGAAAAGAGAGCTCACAGGGCACCTGGTCTGAGCCTTACCCGAACAAGAATCCTCTCTGGGGGCACTGAGAGGTATCCCCTACAAGTGTGCCCAGCACCTTAGCCACTCAGTGCCTGTAGTAGCTGCTTAATGCTCTTGTTTGTCCTTCGTTCTCAAAGAGGACCATGGCATCAGGAAAGTGATGCCATGATATGCAAGCGAATTGGACTTAAGTGAGGGAGGGCTGTGCGAAGTCACCAGCCTCGCTTTCTCCTCCAGAGACATCTAGATCCAGTGGCAAAATATAGATTAGGACAAGTGGAGATGGCCCTGGATGGAGTGGGAGACCTTGGCCTTTTTAAGCCAAGGTCTTTAACGGGTCTCAGCTTGACTGAGGCAGAGTCCATTCAGTGATTAAAGCTAGGTAAGAAATGAGAGAGTGGCCTCTTTTACTTAATCAAAATTAATTTTTTAAAAAAATCAATCTGGGAGGGGAAGACCCTCAGGATTTCTGGCCAAAACAGAAATGATTGCTATGAACACTTGTTGAATTGAATTAAATTGAAAAGGAGAATCTGACTCAGTATTACTTCTCCCCACTGCTCCTATTTCTCCCCTCTGAGGCCAGGCAGAATAATCCTAATCCTTCTTCTTCTTCCTCCCAGCCTTTCAGGTACAAGAATATTGCTATCCCTATTGTTTCTCTCCTATTTCTTTCCTTATTAAGGCTACACACTCTTAGTTCCTTCAAGTTATCCTTGTATGGCATGGTTTCCAGTCCCCTCCCCATCCCGATCTTGCTTCTCTGGACTGATTCCAGTTTGTCAATGTCCCTCCTAAAACATGGCACCCAGAAGTGAACATAATATTCCACATGGCCCAACCAGGGCAGAGTACAACAGAATGGTCATTGCCCTGAGTTATAGTCTCATTTTGACCCCGAAAAGCTGTGTGACCTTAGACAAGTCCCTATCCCTGTGAGATCACAGTTTCCTGACTTGTGAAATATGTGTGATGGGAGTTTGAGGCAGGGTTATAGAGAGGGCTTGAATTTTAAATCGTATCACCACTTGGTATAGATAGAGATACACTTATTCTGCTTGGCCCCAGAGGGCAGAACCAGTAGCAGTAATAGTATTTCTATGGTGCTTTAAAGCTTTTTTCCAACTATGATCTCATTTGATTCTCACAACAACTCTATTATCATCCACATTTTGCAGATGAGGAAACTGAGGCAGGCAAAGATTTATGTAATTTGCTCAGGGTCACACTAGGAGAAAGCACCTAAGGCAGGACCTGACCTCAGCTCTTCCTATCTCAAGGTCCAGTACTTTCCCCACTCCGCTAACTGGTGGCCAAGTGAAAGCCAAACTGGGGCTGAGCTTGGTGACCATCAGAGCTGTCTAACAATGGGATGGGTTGGTTTATGAGAGACTGGGCTCCTGGGACGCTAGGAAGGGGATTCCTTTGAGGGATTGGAATAGATGCTGTGGAGTATTTTATGATTCTAGAGAATTTTATGATGCTAGAGAATCCTAAGAGTATTTTATGGTTCTAAAGAAAAGGACTGAACAGAGTGGGGTGGGATGAATCAACAGAAAAATAACATTGTCCCATTTATCTGGTACTTCAAGATTCATTCCCAGCAAATGAGAGGTAATGCAATTATTATCCCTATTTTACAGAGAGGGAAACTGAGGCTTAGAGTGATGATATACATGATCAAGGTCACATGTCTTGTAAGCTTTGGAGGCAGGAAAAAAGGGAGTTTTAAGCCAAGTTGCCACACTTGGTTCCCAGCAGTAGCAGCAAGCCAGGCTGTGTAATTATGGGAAAGGCCCAGCATTTGGGGTCAGGCTGTGGATTCAGACACCAGCTCTGCTGTTGAATAGTCACATGACTTTGGGTAAATCCCTTGTACCTCAGTTTCCTCATCCGTAAATCATGGCATTGAATTGGATAATAACAGCTGGCATTCCTATAGATTTTGGGGTCAGTAAAGAAGTTTGGTTTTTTTAAATAAATATGATCTCATTTGATCCTCACAAGAACCTAGGAAGGCGGGTGCTATTATCTCCATTTCACAGATGCAGAAATCAAGACTTAAAGAAGTTAAGCCAGTTGCCTGTGGTCACAGAGGCAGCGAGGTTCAGAGGTCATATTTGAACCTAGGTCTTACTGATTTCAAACCCTGCCCCCCATCCCATGCACCACACTGGATTTCCCATGATTTTTAAGGAACTCCTATGATCCTATGTACCTTACTGCTAGGCCTATAACTGGAATATTTTTTTTCATTGAACTAGGAGCCATCAGGCCTGGATCTTCGTCCCACCTCCACCAATGATTCTCTGGATGACCTTGGACAATTCACTTCCATATTCTGGGCCTCAGTGTCCTCCTCTATAAAAAAGGAACAGCTGGATATCATGCTTCTTTTTTTGAGGCAGTTGGGGTTAAGTGACTTGCCCAGGGTCATATAGCTAATAAATGTCTGAGGCTGGATTTGAACTCAGGTCCTCCTGACTCCAGGGCCAGCGCTTTATCCACTTTCGCATCTTAACTGCTCTAACACAATGTTTTTTAATGGTGCTGCCAGTTTTTTTCCATGGACAAAACCAGTTGCCAGGGAGGCGAAGTTTGAGCCAGAAAGTAGTGTTACTTGTTGGAGGAGAAGGCAGTCTTATGAGAGGGGTAGGACAGCAATGAGTCCTAAGAGTTGGCAGCTGTGCCACATATGGGCTGGAGGAAAACTGAGAGGCTAGACAATATTTGTCCTTAAAGAAGCACCCCCCAAAAGAAATCAGCATCCTGGAACAAAACCCCATTTGCCATGTACTAGGTTCAGGATATCTGTTCCCTGCCCCATGGGTTCACATTCCTATCCATTTCCTTACTTTCCTTTCAGATGTCAGTCGCCATCATGCCATCCTCCTCCCCTGAGGAGTCCTCCCTTCTTGCCAGTCCCAACGCCACAACCCCAGCCAACAGCAGCACGGGAGAAAACCAGTTCTTCCATGCTTTCTTACTTTTGGACAAGGAGTTGCACGACAGCTTTCCCAGCCTGTGGGTGGCCCTGCTGGCTGTCAATGGGACCATCTTCCTAGTCGGTGTGGCACTCAATGGCCTAGCCCTCTATGTCTTCTGCTTCCGCACGAAGACCAAGACCACCTCCATCATCTACACCATCAACCTGGTGGTGACAGACCTGCTGGTGGGCCTGTCGCTGCCCACGAGGTTCATCATCTACTATGTGGCTCGAGACTGCCTCAAGTGCTCTCTTGTGCATGTCTTCAGCTACTTTGTCAACATGTATTGCTCCATCCTCTTCCTCACCTGCATCTGTGTGGACCGTTACCTAGCCATCGTCCAGCTGGAGGCCTCGAGGAAATGGAGGAACCCCAGCTGTACCAAAGGCATCTGTGTCTTCATCTGGGTCTTTGCTGTGGTAGTGACCTTCTCCATCCTTTCTGTAGCAGTCCAGGGAGGCTCCTGCTGCCGCCTCTTTGCCTTGACAGTCTTTGAATACTTCCTGCCTCTGGTGGTCATCACCTTTTTCACAGGGAGGATTATGTGTGCGCTGTCCAAGCCCAACCTCATGCATCAGAGCCGCGAGCGGCGAATGCGTGCTGTGCAGCTGCTCCTTACTGTGCTCGTCATCTTTCTGGTATGCTTCACACCATTTCATGCCCACCAGCTGGCCGTCTCTCTGCGTCCCCAAGCCATCCCCAAAGAAGCGGATCTCGTGGCCTACCATGTCACCATCACCCTCAGCAGCCTCAATAGTTGCATGGATCCCATCGTCTACTGCTTTGTGACCAACAGCTTCCAGGCCACTGTGCGGGGCCTCTTTCACAGGAGCGAGCCAGAGCAGACCAGTGGGGAGGTCATCAGCATGCACAAGACCTCCAAGGGCTCCATCCACAACGCCGTCGTTCCCTGCTCCCGAGCTTTGGCCGACGGGCCCCAAGTGTAATCGGGGGGCTAGAGCATCGTAGGAGAGCCCAAGACCATGAATGAGGTGTCGTAGAAAAAGTCCTGAAATTGCAGTCACAGACCTTGACTTCTCAGTCTGCTCCTGACTACCTGTGTGACCTTAGTCAAGTTTCCGCTTATCTAGAGATGAAAAGTTTCCTCATTTGTGAAATAAAAGGTTGACCCAGACAAACTCTAAGCTCATGTTAAAACTCAGATATGCTCTTCCCAACTCAGGAGCCTGTGACCCTACTTGGACTCTGATGACACCCTAAGGATGGTTCCAGGGTGGGGCACCCACCTATATTCCACCTCTGCCTCCATGTGTGACCTCGGACAAGTCCCTTCAGCTATCTGGGCCTTGGTTTCCTCATCTATCAAATGGGGATAATAATGCCTGACCTTCCTACCTCATAGGGGAGTAGAGAGGGTGAGAGCAACCTGTGATAACTAAGGTCATCAGATACTTAGAGACACATCTGGCCAGGGCAAATGGACATGGGATGTAGCTGCTTAATCCTATTCTTAAGAGTGTTTCCTGGGGACCCAGTAGTTAGCAAATATCTCTTTAGTTCTGGGCATTCCCTACTTGGTTAATCAGTTTCTAGGGACAGTCTCCCTATGGCCTCATAGGCCTTGGGCACAAGAAAGGGAGAATGGGGGGGGGGAAGGTAGAGGAAGTGTGAAGAAGAGAAAGGAGTTGAATCCAAGTAAGAAGAGAGCAAACAAAAGAAAAACAGATGCATCAAATGGAGAGGGATAGAAAAGGTCACTTCAGGGTGAATATATAAAAAATGTTCCCTGTGCCTCATATTGGCACAGGACTTGAAGCTTTTCAAAAATACTTTCCCATCTAGTCTATCATCTGAGCTTTATAACAGGCTGGGAGGGTGACAGGAAAAGGACCCTGTCTAGGGCTTAGCACAGTGCCAGGAACATAGTAAGTCCTTAATAAATGCTCATTGTTACCAATGATGACAATCGTCCCCATTTTTTTTAGAAGAGGAAACTGAGATGCAGAGAATTGGTCTGCCCAAGGTCACAGATCTCCTGGCTCCCAACCAAGAGATCCTTCTACTAAACATGGTCACCTCCCTTCATCCTATGCATGAGCTTCCAATTGGGGCTGTCCTGCCTGATGATGGTAGCCCTCAGACTGGGTCTCCTATGTATGTCTCCTCTACCCACCCAAATAAAAAGAGGGAAGACCCTGAGGGAATTCCAGGTAGGGTCTCCAGATAGAACTTCTGACTTACCTCCACCTGCTTGGTGTGCAGAGGATCTTAGAGCCAGCAGGTACACTGTACTCAACCGGGGGAGCTTCACCTATACTGATGGTAAGGTCTCAGCCCAGAAAGTGATCAAGAAACTGCTCAACCCGGATCTGAGACATCTCTTTTGTATAAGTGTATAAGTATAAGTGGAGGGCACTTTGGAAGGGAGGAGGAGGCCTCCTTCCCAAATATGGCCTTTGAGCTGTAGCTTAGATAGGCCATGTCTTAGATAGCATGGAAGCAGTATAGTAGATAGAGTCCTGCATCTGGAGTCCGAAAGATCTGAGTTCAAATCCTGCCTCAAACATTAGCTGTATGACCCTTGGCAAGAGATATAACCTCTGTCTGCCTGTGTTTTCTCATCTGCAAAATGAGGATAATAGTAGCACTGATCTCACAGAGTTGTAGTAAGGAACATATGAGATAATATATGTAGAGTATTTTGCAAAATTTAAAATGCTGTATGAATGTTAGATAGTTTTATCCTCTGCACCTATGAACTCTGTCCCCACCCCCGCCCCCCAAAAAAATCACGTTTCTTTGATGAAGGGAAGAAGTGCCGTGGGACACACTCACTAAATGTGTCTTTTATAGAATTTAGAGCTGGAAAGGACCTTAAGGATGATTTAGTCAAACCCTTTCATTTTACAGACAAGGAAACATAGGCTTAACAAGGTAGAGGGACTTGTGTATCACAGCCACACAGCTAAAAGGTCAGAGCCAGAATACAAACCCAGGTCTTCTGACGCTGAATCTAATACTCATTTTACTACATCCAGACCAAAGATATTCACCCTGAAGGAGTCCACAGGGGTGGACTTCAGAGGGCTGGTGAATATGGATGGGGAGAAGAATTATATCTTTATTTTAATATAATTGGTTTCTTTTGTAATCCTGTGTATTTTAATTTATTCATTTTATGTTATTTTGTAATGGGGTCATTAGGCTTCATCAGACTTCCACAAGGGTCCAGGACAAAAGAAAACAAAAAGATCAAAACCCCTCTCCTAGTCTGTGTAGCCTCTCTAGAGAATCCTGGGAGCAAAACTCAAACTATGGAGTGAATTGGTCATCAGCTGAACCCCCCTAAATTTGCCACAGCCCTACCCGCTAAAAACCAATGGTTCTGTTTATCGAAAGCTATTTCTTGAGAGTTCTAATGTCTTGCCCTAGGAGCTTACTCCAGAAATCCTACTCACTTGGTGACCTCTCTAGAAGTTTCTCCTGGGTCAGAAACGGACTTTGTAGTGTTGTGCATTGGAAATAACACCATGTATGAGGTACAGAGGACCTGGGTTCAAATCCAGGCTGTCCTAATTACTACCAGCATGTCATAAATTAGGGCCTCAGCTTCCCCATCTGCAGAATGAGGACACCGGACTAGACAATGTCTAGGACCCCTTCCTGCACTGAAGTTCCGTGATCCTGTGTTCTTCCTCTGAGTTCCTGAGCAAGGTTGGACCTTGACAAAATGGAGACATCGCAGAGTTCATATTTAGAAATACCCGTGTCTCCTCTTCAGTTCCTGCTTCCCTAGTTTTGGTGTCTACCCCATACCCACCCCTGCATCTCAGGGCGCTCAGGTGCTTTGCTCTTCTTCAAATGGGACAGCCCACCTCCCAACTCAAAGCCTTTGCGATGGCTGTCCACCGTGTCTGGAGTGCTCCCTCTTCTCACCTTCATTCCTGCTTTCCATTAAGACTCGGTTCAAACCCCACCTTCTGCAGGAGGTCTTTCTCAGCCCCTGCTTGCCCCCTCCTCCACTGGCGGTGCTTACCCTCTGAGATTACCTTCCTTGGCACTGTATCTATCTTGTATATACGATTATTTGCATGTAGTTTCTTCCATTAGAATGGGAGCTCCTTGAAGGCAGGGACCATGTTTTTGCCTTTATTTGTACCTGGAGCACTGAGTACAGTGCCTGGCACATAGTAACAACTTCACGAATGCTTGTTGACTGACCGTCTAAAGACTTCAAGGCTATTCCAGTATCTTAAGTGTCTAAGAATCCTTTTTCACCTGAGGTGCTCAGATCAGAATGTTCTCCCTGCACTGAGGCTGGGAGATTTCCCCAGTAGCCCCCACTTCACACCAGAAGGGTGGCTACCTACTCCTTCTCCTTGTAAAGCTGACTCTGCCTTTGAGGGGCTGTCTAACCCTGCATTTCCTCCCTGGAAAAGCCCTGTGACTCGAGGCACTGAGAGATGATTCCTCCTGGTGTTCCAGTCTTCAGGAGAAGAACGTCAGAGACAATGGAGAGCTATCCAGAGCCAGAATCAGGGAAGTGACCCTGGCCAACAGTTTACTCTCCTGCTCTCCATTGATGGAAGTACTGCCCAAGCAGACCCTGCAGCAGAGAATCCTCCTGGATATGTTTATTTAGGGGGTCCCTGAGACCTAAAATGAGCCCCCAGGAGAATCCTGAGTTGGGAGTGGGACCTGCATTGCCTTTTGAACTGGAAAGATGCTGCCACTGAGCTGAATGCTCCCTGAGCTCTAAGACTCAACTCCATAGGAATGAGGAAAAGTGGTGATATTGATGATGATGGAGGAGGAGGAGCCCAAGAGCAGGAATCTGCCCTAGTAAAAGACCCAGAGAGCTCCTCCCATCCAGGCCTGGCTCTGCTTGTGATTTGTCATGTGACCTCAGGCAAGTCACACCTCCCTTTGGGGCTTCAGGCCCTTCTTACGTAAGTGAGGGTGCTGTATTAGATCCTTCCGAAGAGTGACCATCAATGAAGGTGGAGGAAGAGCACTTTGGGACAAAGAGGGAGAGGGGGAAATTCTTCTACCTTGTGACCTTCCACTTTCTCCTCCAAGCAGTACTCCTGGATTGCTTCATATCTTCCAGGCTGGTCTCTTACATGACCAATATCAGGACTCTTTAAACCTGTCCTAGTTCAGTATCAAGAGCATCTGCTTCCTGGTCCATGATATGAGCCTGGGTAAGGATAAAGAGTTTGCTAGGACATGAGGTCTGGACTGGGTGAGACAGCCTTTCCTCTGCTGACTAGGGCTTTCTCTAGGAGGCCAGATCACAGGCCTCATGAGAGTCCAGGAACTCAGGCTTTAGGTATTCCTTCCCCAAGTTTAGTCTCTATCATTACCTCATGTGGGTCCCCCACCTCCCCCACCTCCGCAGAGCAAGGCCATTCTTGTTGGTGAATGGGTTTAGCTGAGATATATTGACAAGGGGGTGGGGGGGACAAAGGAGCTAAGTTGGTGAGGCTATGTGACAAAGTTGGTTATGATGTCCAAGGTGAAAGCCCCATAACTCTGGGACCTGGAATCTTGTAGATTCAGGTAATATCAGAATTGGTAGTAACTTTAGAACATAGAATGGAAGATCAAATACACAAACATACACATACATATGTATGTATACATGTATATGTATATACATGCATATGCATACCCACATATGTATGCACGTGTATATACATGTGTGTGCGTGCTTGTGTATATGTATATATAATCATATAGCTGGAAAGAACTTTAGAGCACAGGATATTAGATAGTAGTTTTTTGGGTTTTTTTTTTTACTTGGGAAGAACCTTAAAATATAGAATTTTAGAACATAGAATATTGGAACTAAAAGAGATATTAAACATGGAATGATAGAATATAAAAGCTTGGAGCTGGAAAGTACATTAGAACATAGAATATTAGAATTATAAGAAACCCTAGAAGTTATCAACCAGGGATTCTTGATCTGGGGCCCATCAACTGTTTAAATAAATAAATAGATAGATAGATAGATAGATAGATATAGATATAGATATAGATATAGATATAGATATAGATATAGATATAGATATAGATATAGATATAGATATAGATATAGATATAGATATAGATATAGATATAGATATAGATATAGATATAGATATAGATATTTAATACCTATTCCAATATAATTGGTTTCCCATGTATTTTATTTTATGCATTGAAACCCATTATTTGGGAAGTCACCAGACTTCCCAAAGGCTCCATGACACTCAAAAATGGGGCTAAGAACCTCACTCTAAACATCCTGACAATGAATAGATATGAATTCTAGTCCAACCTGCAGCTGGTAGAATACCTGCATTGCTTCCCTTCCAAGCTTGGCCCTAGCTCCAAGTCCCATAGAAGGCCCTAGTGTTCTCTCCCTATTGAAAATGCTTTACATTTCTTGGTATATATGTAGTATTTACCTATTTGTGTACAGGTTCTATCCCCTAGGAGAATGTAATCTCCTTGAGAGCAAAGGCTATTTTGTTCCTGTCTGTGTGTGCCCAGTGCCTAGCACAGTCCCTCACCATGGTAAGCATAGTAAGTCATGTTGGTTGAGTTGAATCAAACACTTCATTTTACCAAAGAGGAAACAGATGCCTAGAAAGGGAAGTGATTTTTAGAGGGCATCACAGCAAGCACAGTGGCATAGTCAGAACTAGAACCCAGGTCTCCAGAGGCCCAGGCCAGCCAGTGCTCTGTCCACTAGGCCAGAAGGTGGTAAGTTATCTGCAAACCACTACCCCTCCCCCCATCCCCAAACTTTTTTTTTTGGTAGAAGAAAATGTCATGTATATTTATATCAGATGTAAGCAATTCCTGTAATGAGATGTCCTGAATTAAAGCTGTTTATTCTGACTGAGTGGCCTCTGCTTCTGGGGCTCTGGACAGGTCCACCGGGCAGGAGAGCGGCAGGTTGTTCCTGGAATGTGACCAGGTCGAGGTGACCCAGAGAGGCCCTAGGTGGAAGAGAGAGGAGAGCAGCCCACAATGGGACACACTCCAAAATAGGTGTGGGCACACAAACATTCCTACACATCTGCCTATGTCCTGGGACTCATACCCTCACATATACCCACAAACGTGCATGCATACATACATACATGCATGCTTAAATGCTTTTAGAGACGCGCAGTCAGACATAATTGCATATACATGGCACGTGTCATAGATAGGAAAGACTTTAGAACATAGGATGTCAGAACTAGAAGACATCATAGATTTAGAGTTTAGAAGGGATAGTCCAAACGCCTCAGTTTACAGAAGGTAAATCTGAGATTAGGTCACATAAGTAGCAGAACCAGGGTTTGGACCCAGGTCCTCTGACCTCAAATCCAGGGCTGTTTCTACAGTGTCACAGTTAGAACACTCACGCCTTAGCATATGCAATGCCATACGAATGTCAGCTGAAAGGGACCTTCGAATACAGAATGCTAGATCAGGGAGAATCATTGCCATCACAGACTCACTCTCATACATCCTTAGATGCTTTGGCTCTGGATTTTCTTGTGGTGTAGCCATTGTCCCCCTTCCCAGTCCAGTA